TAATCATGATGGGCTGTCCGTTGTTGCGATGCCTGGTGGTACATATATGGTAGCGCACGCTCTTGCCGGCAGAGAGCTGGAAACCAACAGAGTCAGCCCATCTGACCACCGAGGAGACTGCCGCTTGCGCTCTCAGTTTCGTCCTTTGCAGGGTGGGACCCACCGTTACAATGAGGACGTCATCCGCGTAGACGAAGATGTAAACGTCCTTGGGTAGTTGGTCAAAGACCCCATTCATGGCCACCAGGAAGAGGGTGACCGCGATCACCGAACCCTGTGGCACTCCGGTTTCCTCACTGAAACTTCCGGATTGCACGTTTCCAACCGAAACCCGAAAAGATCGGTCGCTCAGAAAGTTCCGGACGAAGTGAAGGATGTGTCCTTTCAGGCCCAAATCAGCAAGCTTCTTAAATACAGCTGGTGTCCATTAGGGTGCTTCATTCTGAAAAAAGTGATGAATTTCTGATGGGCCACCCTCCAGTTCGATTCATAGCCCCAAAATATGAACCTGTGCAAAAATTGGTAAAGATTGATGAAGGTTTAGAGGTCGCGCCAATGATTTGAAATTTGTATGGGAATTACTATGGAAGAATTTAAAAAATCGCTTATATCGTTATAACTTTGCTTCTACTTGTCCAAATGTCGAAAAAATTTAGTATGTTATTGCTATGGCAATAAACAAAAAGCCTACAGTTGCTACGCTCAGTTTTGCAGCGTATCAAGGATTATAAAAATGTGAAAAAATGGCAAAATAGGGTAAATTGACAGATGAATATGTACAAGGCAACAACGCCAATTTCATCGCAACAACAACAGGCTTGTTGATCATTGTCATACAACCACAACTACAACCAAAGTTAGAGCAATGTAAACGAAAATCAATAATTTCCCATACTAATTCACCAAAATCTCCATACAAAATCCAAATCATTGGCGCGATCTCTAAACCTTCATCAATCTTTACCATTTTTTGCACAGGTTCATATTTTGGGGCTATGAATCGAACTGGAGGGTGGCCTATCAAAAATTCATCACTTTTTTCAAAATGAAACACCCTAGTGTCCATGTTCGGTTGAACGCTTTGGAGATGTCCAGCGAGACGATCTCCGCGTGATGACCTTGATCCTTTGCCTCCTTCAGGACTTCCCCAAGATTGGCGAAGTAGGTGGAGGTGCCATATCCTTGCCTGAAGGCGTACTGCCGATGGTCAAGCAGTGCCTTGGCCTCAAGATATTGCTTCAACCTCCTGTTGACCATCCGTTCCAGGACTTTCGCCATGCAGCAGGTCAGTGCAATGGGACGGAACCCAGTGATGTCTTTGGTCCCGACATTGGTTTTTGGTAACGGTATAACGAGGCTTTCTCTCCAGTTTTCCGGGTACTCTTCAGCGGTCCAGAGTTGGTTGTAGAGGTCGAGAAGTTTCGTTTTGCCTTCGGGTGGAAGGTGCTTTAGCAGCGGGAAGCCGATTTCGTCCGGTCCAGCCGAGTTCCCGTTGCTCCGACTGAAAGCGAACACGAGTTCTTCCCAGGAGAGTGGGCTGTTGCCCAGTTCGTCTGCTACGACGGTTGGATCATTGATGGTGACGGTGTCTGTTCGAATCTGAAGAGGAGATGATCGCCGCTTGCCGCTAAGGGCGTTGATGCGACTCCATAGCTCCGATGACGATTGTTCGGCGTTGATGCTCTCCAGAAAGTCCGACCAGCAATTTTGTTTCGCCGTCCGGAACTCCTGTCGGCATTTGTTATGCTGCTGGCGATAGTTCGCGAGGACCTCTTCTCTTGCTGGATCGTTTGGGGAGGTGCGTTTGAGCTTCCAAAGTGCTTTTCGTCTGGCTTTTACTGCCCTTTTGGTTTCGTCGTTCCACCAGCGGAGTGCCTTCCGCCCGGGGACACAGCCAGTTTTTGGTATACTGGTGCTAGCGGCTTTATAGATGCACGAGGGCTCGATACGTGTGCTGAAAACCCTCCCAATCAGCTTCCCCGTAGCGCCACCACGGTCTTCGGGTGTTTTCTGGGGGCGATGCGGCGGATAACCGAATCTGTACCGGATAGTGGTCGCTGCTGCACAGATCCGGGTTAATCGACCAGAGCACTTTGCCCGCCAGAGAACGGCTGGCTGTGGACACGTCAATGTCGGTGGTGTGCCGACCGTTGAAAAACGTTGGGCCGCCATCATTTAAAATGACCAGATCTTCCTGCTCGAAAATATCGCAGAGGGTGACGCCTCTAGGGTCCGCTCGTAGGCAACCCCAGGCTGGGTGGTGGCCATTCAGGTCCCCTATAAACATCTATCCCCTATAAACATCTATCCCTATTCTTCAGCAGCCTTCCGCATGGCAGATAGGCACAGGCGATGGAGATGCTAATTGGATTCTGGATCTGAATGCCGACGATTGGGAGGTCGGTATCCAAATCAACGATTCGGTGAGGGATTTCCTTGTGGACTCCTATAGCAACGGATCTCCGGAGGTTGAACCCTTTTTTGATGGACCAGGTATATTGGCCGTCTAGTGTTCTGTTCATCTGGTCCACCGTCACGTTGTTGACATCTTGCAGGGCAAGCACCCAAGGGGACGCGCCGCTGCAGAGGAGTTCCAACTCAGCCAGGTGGAGAAAGAAACCGCTAATGTTCCATTGAAGGATCAGATTCACAGGAACCGGTAGTGCGGGGGTAGGGTACCCACGCTCCGATCCACTGGTTGAGGGTCGTTCGGTTGAACAGTGATGGCTGATTGCGTAGCAACTAGAATTTTGATGTGTTCCAGTCGGGCTTGCTGTGGCAGAACTCGGTACCAAATGAGACGGATCCCCACCAGGGGCAGGTGGAGGCGTTTCACCCACCCGGGGCAGGGGCGTCCCAACGGTGGTAAGAAGGTTGGTCGCTGTGCTTGAGCTAGGTACTGTGCTTGGGGGTGATCTGTTTGTTTGGGACTTGAATCCCTCTTTGTCCTTCGGGGATTGGGAACAACTGCCCTTATCCGTCCCGATAGTGAGCTGTAAATATAGATGTAATGAATATGTTGCTGTATTTGTAAGATCGTTACAACAGTGTTAGTGTTTAGCTCCAAATCGTTGTACTGTAAATTTCTCGATGATCTTTATTTCGATATTCCTTCCCATCTGAATTATTTCAGCAACCCTGATCCTGATTCATCAACACTTTTTGAGCACGAAGCACGAAGAATCGTATTAATAAGCTTATATTTATGTTCTTTTGATTGTCGATTTCTACATATTTAGGTGGTGGTGGAGTTGAATCTCTCACTAAGATGTGCTCGTTTCCCCGCTGTTGCCGTGCAAAAAGACCAGTACTACCCAACAAACATTGAGCGCTGAATAAGAGCTTCTTCAGGCAAAAATATGCTTCTTCAGCTAATTGATAGCTTATTCAGCTTTTAATAAGCTCAAATTGTTTGTTGGGTAAGTAACTAACGGATTTCTACACTGCATGGCATATAAGATCGACTCAAATTTAAGTTTAAATTACTCAAACTCTAGAAAACGTACTTTTCCGAGCCTCATAAATCTTTTCGAATATGACAAAAATCGACGAAAAATTTACTCATTCTAGAAGTATACAAATTTGACATGTCAAAGCTCGGGAAGTTTTACTCACTCTATGAGTTAACTAAGTTTTCAAGAATATGAGTGAACTAATCTCAACTTTTAGTCAACCTCATTCGTCATGAATGCAATCGTAATTTATCTTTTTATTAATTGCTTTTAACGTATCCGGCGTAAATGGATGCATTCTAAACTCCAATACCCAGAAATCGAAAAACACACACACTAAGAAATAACTAATTTTACACGTGACGGAATCCGTCTTTGATATAAAAGATGAGATGTAAACAAACAGGTCATGTAATATTAAGTGCTCCGAGACTGAAAAGTTCGTTGCTCGACGAAAAGTAAGTTTGATTGAGCTATATTTCGTGTCTGTTATGACTCACATAGATTTCAAAATTGGTGCTCGTATATGTCACTCTCAGAGCACCTAAATTTACATAAACTTTTCTAAATATGTATCTAATGACTCATCTTGGTAATTCCTGGGAATTGGGAAATACTTTTGTATTTTATGTCACCAAAAAGGTCCATCAAAATGTTTTTTTTTTTCACGTTCTGAAGTTTATTTAATCTCTTCTTAGAAGTATTCCTTGCCTTTACCATATCATTCACTACATTTTACGCCTGTAGCTCACCGGAAGTCACTTGAAATGGCAGGTTATGTCTAAAAGTTTAGAGAAATAGAATAAAAACATGACACAGAAGTAGCTAGTGGCATTCAATTCCTCCAATTTCATGTAAATAAGAATAGGTATCTCACGCTTTCTGAAGGGCAATCACGAAAGAAGGGCAGCTCTGCGTCTGTCATTGCCTTGTGTGCGATGGCACGCAACCCATAGATTGAGAAATACTGTTCAAAACTGTGAACTTTAAAATTAACCACATTTAATGTGGTTGCACACTATGGAATTCAAAAAAAAAAATTGCATCCAGCTCCAACAAACATCAAGACTCTGATTCTAGCGGAAAGTAGGATGATGACCGATAAAGTTTCCCAAAATAAGCCTATTTGCAAATACTTTCCATCTTTCTCTTAAAAACCGCCTTCGTACTACCGCAACGTGATTCTTCATTCCACTTAAGCCAGCAAGAGTGCGCCTCTGCCAGCATCTCACCCAGACAAGATCTATCCCTTATCATATATCAGTAGAACTATTTGCTTTCCGATGCACACTCTTCACTCTCCTCCTGCCACGTTATTCTACCACCCAGCGACTTCAACTGGCGCGCGGAAGACAAGCGCCACTCATCATCTACCAAGACAACGACAACGGCATTGTTATCAGTAGCGCAATAAAGACAATACAAGCTCACAGTGCTATCTCTCCACAGATTTCCTAAACCGCTGGCTGCTGCATCATCTTCCGCTTCCTCCTTCGCCTCCGCCTCCACCTCTCATGCCGAGCATCTTTAAATCTCCCCCGAACAAATCCCCCGGAATCGGTAATTAAGTTATAAAAGAGACCAAAAGCGTGAAAATCACTGCCACATATGCTGTAAAGGGCGTCAAGTGAAGTGGTTCCCATTCGCGTGAGAGAGGTTATAGCTGCCAGCTAGTCCACGGGATAAATGTGAAGGATTATTATTTCAAGGAAAGGAACGCGCAGAAACGAATTGTCGCAGTGATTATACTTCGAAGCAACAGTGACTGTGATATGTCGAGTGTGATGTGTGAACGGTGTTGATGAAACGGTTGACTTGGTGAATGTTAATAGGATTGTTGGCGGCTCGTTCGGAAAACTCGGTTGAATACGATCCAGGCAGAAGCGAGGGGGGTGGGTGTGAAAATGGGTTCGGAAAAGAGGTGCACCGAAATGGTTGAGAATGGAAAAAGTACTAATAGTGTTGATGGTGATGTGAAGGAGTTGAAATTTTCGGAAAACGATGCTGACGGCAGGAATGAGCACACGGAACAGTATGAGAGTTATAAAAATAGTGAGAGCACGAAAATTGGGTCGGAGTTCGAGAAGATGATACCGGATTTCGAGGATATGTTTAAGGATATACCTCAGACTCAGGATACCACATGCGGATTCTGGATATTCAAGGGGCCATTTTTGCAGAAGTGAGTATTGAACAACTGCGGCGAATAGAAGTTGAACAATTTCAGTAATGGTTTTACGATTCTCGATTCTATATCAGTCAGTAAATAATATAATGTTATCACTCCCTTTAGCATTGTTTACGTGTCCATAAACCCTGTAAACAATTCATAGCTCAAATTTTGGTACAATTTGCGTCTTACTCAGCAAACATTGCAAACAAAATAAGAGATTATTCAGGAAAAATATGGTTCTTTAGCTAAAACATGGCTTATTTTGCTATTGTTCAACTCCAATTGTGTATTGGGTAATCAAATGTCTACTTAGCACTGAGTTATTTTTACAGGAAAAGCCTGAAGAAATTGTTTGAGCTTATCCCAAGTAACAATTGCATTTATGAAGGTTCTGTAGACCACGATTTACGCTTTTAAAATGCTTTAAAACCTCTATAAAGCTTGCAATGTTATTTGGGATGACATATCAAAATTTTTCCCTAATTTCCTATTTAAGAATTTCAAATCATAAATTCAGATTGCTTTCAATATTTCTATGCTTCCTTTACTCATATTCTTTGCTGTCACCTGTACTGCTATTCAATATACTACTATCTTTGTTTTTATTTTTTTTTTTCTCAAATGGAATTATAAAGCACACTTATGATTTTATTATTTGTTATAATTTTTCTTGATCTGGTTTTTCTAACTTTATTAATTGAATCTTAAATATTTAAGTTTATTGCATGGATCACCTTCTTTCTATGACTGCTTACCTTAAAATAAGAAGCCTGGTTTCCATTGTTACTAAATCTTCATGCATCTCTCTACAATTCGATGTCTGAGGGCGACCCCGGCGTAGTGGTTAGCATCCATACCTCTCACGCCAAAGTCACGAGATCAAATCCCACCCGGACAAGTCACGAATGACTCAAGAGCGTTAAAGTGACTTGTTAAAAAAAACTCGACGTCTTCTAACTCGATATCGAGTTATAGAACCATAGAAATAATTAATTTTTCGGGAATTGCGATGGTGATTTCCTATAGGATTATTGTTCTATACCTCGATAATTGTATAACTAGTCCCTTTAGTATCAAGTTGTAGAGACTTCAATGTATTAGTATAAAGGAAATAGTTCGCTTGGAATCCTTTCACATTGAGGTGCCATTGTATTTTTCAGACTATCAATGTAGGGGAAATGGATGTTATGTCGGCCTAATGCCCCCAGCAATCGACTAAATTTTCAATAGCGACCAAAAATATCTATTAATACTGTCCCAATGACGCGTTCATCTAGATAATAAATAGATAATTAATAAATAACTGATTTTAGCGATGGGCCCAATGTTAGATCTATAGGCCAACATTAAAGCCATTTCCCCTAATTTCAATAAACTTTATTTTTCCCACTATTTCTGATTACAGTTTATCAGTCTAGTACTCTAATTTAGAAACGAGTCGTTCAAACTCAATAAGGGGCTGTCCATAAACTACGTAGACAGTTTAGGGGGGGGGGGTTGACAATTATCCACGGCCCATACAATTTTTTTTTTAAATTTGTATGGACAATTGTCTACGCATGGTGAGGGGGGGGGGGGTTAAGAATCCCAAAAAAACTGTCTACGTAGTTTAAGAACAGGCCCTAACTACCATGTCAATCCGCCAGTGAAAAGCAAGTAGAAAAAAATGATATCTACCAAAATCAAAGTATTGACCACAAGTTTGGCACCAACAAGTGCTGAAACGTTAGGACGAATAACAGACGTGTCGTTCTAAATCAGTTTATCTTTCCCAATTTATGGATTAGTTCTGCAATGATCCATCCTATACAAATGGTAAATTCATTGAAAAAATCGATCCAGCCTGCAGTTTCACACGCGAGTTTATTCTTTCAGAAAGGCTCAATGAATATTATTAAATAATCCTTTTGCTAGCACCGTTTCATGCATAAGAACTCAATTTTTTTTACTAAATTTCGTCGGTTTACGTCGGAATTTGAAGGCAAACTATGGTTTAAACTTAAGCTACCACTATTAACTAAAGACTAAAGTACTAGAAAAATATGCAACAGACAAAAAATTATCACCAAAAATTCATTTTAAGTCGGATATTTTCGAAACTATCAAGGAATTAATAAACACATAAAGCTATGTTATCGCAAAGTTGGTTTATCAAACCTGTTCTCCTAGACTAAATACCCGCAACTTGGACTACCCATCATCGCTACCCATCAAATCCTGTGCAACACTTGCGCCATCTTTCTTACACACTTTCATCCACTCTTTCTCCAAATTCTTGCCGTTTTGGAAGACCTTCGCTGTTTTTCGGAGCTTGCCCTTCATAATCGCCCAGAATTTTTCTATTGGGTTAAGTCCTGGCGAGTTTGGCGGATTTGCCTCCTTCGGCACAAAAACAGCATAGTTGGCTTCTTACCACTCAATCACCGGTTTTGCGTAATGGCACGATGCCATATCCGGCCAAAACGAGTGTCACCTTCGTGGGATCGGAGGAAGGACAGCAGGCGCTACTGAAGGCATTCTTCTTTATATATTTTGCCGTTGATGGTGTCGGTCGTTATGTACGGCTTGCTGAATTTGCCGCACCCACAGATCACTGCCAGTACTTCTTTACAAATTTGTCGGCCTTCTGCTTTTGGATCTTCTCCGGAACATCCAATGCATTTCGGCTGCACCAACAACTCGCGGTACAGCTTCCTGGCGCGGGATTTGGCCACCGTATTCTGTTTATCGTTTCGGTTAGGTGCCTTCCTTACCTTGAAAACATAAATGACTGCCTGCTTCATTGTCCGCTGGACGAACCATACGGAATAATTGACCTTCTTGGTCACATTCCGAATCGAAAGGTTCGGATTGCGCTTGAAGTAATCCCTCACCTTCCTTGAGTTCACGAGGTCGGTCGTCTTCGCTTTTTTCCGCTGCCAGCTCGCCGCTGGGTTGTCTGGGTATCCTTGGACGATTTTACCACCCGGGACACGGTCGAACTGTCGATTCCAAACTGTTACGCGATCCACCTGTGGGACTGGCCTGGATTTTCCACGACCGTATCCATAATTTTTTGTCGAAGCACTTCTTGCTTGGAAGCCATCTCGATAACCACTTCACAGATTGTGACGGGATTTTGCACATGTAAACATTACACTCTTAACTAGTTTTACGCAAAATTTTATCAATTTTTACCCATGCAATAAAAAGTTATACACAAAAGAAAGTGCCATTTTTTTTTGAGTACAATGTTTATAAAGTTGAGAATTTTTGAAACTGTCTGAAAATTTTAACTAACGCACAAACCAATCTCAAGCCAATATGGTCAAAACTGGGCCTAGCTAGAAATGGGTAAACCATGTTAGGAGTTGCAAGTTAATACATGAACAATACTGACCAGAAATCTGACGGCACCGGTGTTGCTTAAAGGGAATATACACTCAGATAGAAATAAAAACTTTTTTATGTCCTGTTAAAATTGATGGACATTATATGCAAACATTGTAGACTAAACTGTTTCGAGAAACATTGTTGAAGACGGCCATTTTATATGTCTCAAGTGGACAAAGCTATAGAGTGGAAATGTAATACAAACAGTAGTACCAACCGATATAAACTAACGAATTTAAATTGGCTCGCACTGGACTAGCCTATCGGTCCCAAGTAAATCAAGTAACGTAACCCATTTTAGTCGAAATTCTAGTACTACACTATGTTGGTTTTGATTCGCTATAAAAGTTTGACAGATTAAATGAGGGGTTCGTGGATTTTTCTATGTTTCGATGGGTGCATCGATTAGCTTGGGACCGAAGAGAGTACCAGAGCTGAGCCAAAAAGTTGAGCACGTTTCTTCGGGACCTTCTGGCCTTGGAGTTTCCTCTATGATAGTGTTTTTATCATAACTGAACGAGTTTGGTTACAATCTCGGTTTGCGGGAGATTTTTTTTAATTTTAACGGAATGATCCTATTCATTTGCACACCATAAATCCATATATTGCTCAAATTTCACCAAATCTCGAACTAAGATTGAGATTACTAAGCACAAAACAACTATGTCGAAGACTGCCCCTCAAGGTGGGGCTTATTTAAAAAAAAATCGTTTGTGGACATGTTTTCCCATGTGGATAATGATTATTGGGACTAATTAAGTAACATATCATATATTGAGTTTTTTTTTCGATGACATTTAGAGTTGATGCAAGGGGCGTCAGTCCAAAACGAAGAATGTTGAACGTTTTCAAATAAAATTTTTTATTAATTTTACGATATCTTACCTCGTTCTTGAGATATATGGCATTGCGAGGTTCCCGCACATGGACTTACACTTACATATTAATATATCGCAATCAGCATCCTTGTAGTGCTATATTTAGGTTGAGTTAATATGATAAGGAGAGAGAGGAAAAAATGAATTGCAGAGAAAGAGAGAGAAAGAGAGAAAACGAGAAAAGGAGGAGGAAAGCTAAACTCTCTCTAAATATTATTATTATTATTATTATCTCTATTTGGGAGATTTTCAAACTCTCTCTCTAAATAGATATTCAAGCGAACAACGAGTTAGAAAAGGATGTCGAGTTATGGTACCTAAATGTGCATGGGATATGTGGTCGAAGTAGCCTAGATACCCTTCGAGGGAGAAGTAGAGTTGATTGTATTTGATATGTGGTCTAATTTAAACGTTAAATATTAGGAATACTTATCAACAATTGCTCTTTTTTCCATGATGGGAAGATTTTGTTTAGGACGATTTACATTTACAAATACACGTATCTGTTTGTTTGTTGGAAACCTATTTTGACTTTAGACATGCAAACTATGAGCTTATGAAAAAAAAACAATTTAAATTCTATTGACTGGCAAACTTTTATTAGAAATTCGAGCCCAGATCAGGCTGTAGATATGTTCTATGAAATTGTATACGATATATTAGAGACGACAGTACCGAAAAAGCTAAGGAAAAAATCAAAGAAATCTTAAACTCCAGCATGGTACAACAGGCAAAGAAATAATCTCAAAAATAGAAAAC